AAGACATCAGAAAGCCAGACTCTGCCCTTGAAACCTTATCCCTGCCTTTGATGTACCCCCTTAAATAAACCACTGGAGCCAATTTCCCATTCCAGAATCCATGTGGACTAGATCTATCAGGGGCTTTGCATTATGTAAATATATTTCTGAGTATCTGTGTTTTATTACTTATTAATTATCTGAAATTGTAAGTTTTAAGGTGGCTTGGATTCCCCTGGRAAGAAAGAACCCTACAAAGAGTCACTGGCCATCCTTCCTCGCAAAAGACATTGTTTTCTCAAAGTATATAGCCAGTAACTTTTAGATGTCTGTTTATACATATTTGATTTACATTTTAATGAACGAATGCTATTASTGGGATATATCCCCAGTAGCTGATCTTCTCAATATTTTTACCATACCTTGAAAACAGACATTTAATAATCATTTTGCGTTAATGGGCTAGTTGGTTCTGTTCATGSTTTACATATGTTTGATAGGGATTCTCTTGGGTCAGCCATCCTGTTTCTTATCTCTAAATATTTGTGTACATTCCAGACAATGGCAATCACTTTATCTAGTTACTTTTCTGATAAAACATAAATCTTAATTTCAGGAATGAGGTGTTTCTATTAAGCTTAAAAGCTTATTCCAATACTCKTATTTGGTGTTTATTTGTTTTGAGAATAGCAACAAATCCATTAAGCAAAGCTTATAGTGATAACTATCTCTGGGGTACCAGGAAGAAAACACAGGAGCATGAAATCATTAATAATGTACTTTCCTAATTGCAGCATCTTCAGAGAACACTGTTGAACAAGAGTTGGGGAATAAAAAAAAAAATCAGTTATTTTTAAAAATGKTATTTTTAAAAGTACTGTCACTTAACATTRCTTCCTGCTGGTACTTTGTTAGATGAAGCATAGAAATCATAAATAACATTACTTAAATTGTAATGGGGAGGGAGAGACAGAGAGAGGGAGAGAATCACAATCACAATGTGGAGGAGAAATAAGTCACTGTACAGTGAGTAAATTGAATGCATTTATGCAGAAATCTGCCAGGCAGATGACAGCATTTGCAGGAATTGGTTCATCAAATAAACACTGACACTTGGACTCTTTCCTTTCCAGGTTTGCACTGTGAATTTGGGCCTTGTGAGGCTAGCAACCCTTGTGAGAATGGAGCTGCATTTAGCAAGAAAACAGATCTGGAAATATTTTCCCTTAGGTTCCAATGCCAATGTGAGAAAATCTTTTCAGTTTCACCCTGTGAGATCAATGTCAATGAATGCAGTTCCAGCACTTACCTGTACAGATACTGCTGTGACAGTGAGTTCACTCAGCCACTGTTGTAATATTTGCAGAGCAGTCTAATTTAGAACATGACATAACAATAGGAAGGTCCATATATATGAACATAGCCTCTCTTGAACATCAAAGCCAATGCCAGCAGTACTAGGTACTGCTCTTCTGACAAATTTGTTTACGTTCTTGTTCATTGCTATTGTAGAAAATGAAGGATGCAGCTCTTATGTTCTGGTTATCAGAATTAACTATTTTTGCAATTTATTTTAAACTGTAGATTATTAAAGGTAGTTATTTATAGTCATATGAAAGTGTTATTTTAAATGATATTTAAAATTATTATTTTAGCTCATAGCTCATCTCTCTCTCTCATGCACACACACACACACACACACACACACACACACACACAACCACATAACCACAAACTTCTTCCTGATGAAATAATATAAATTCATAGAGGGAAAGAATAAGAAAGAAAAGAAAAATATGTAAGCATATACAGAAAAAAGAGGAAAAACAAGAGACAGAATGTTTAAACACTGATTTTTATGTGGGATGACCTGTTTCATTTTTTGTTGAGACTCAGGAAAAAATTACATAAAATGACATTGCAGGGGGATGTAACTAAGGAGTATGATAAGGAAAACAGGTGAACTAAGAGTCCACCTTCTTTTGCCTTATCTTACCTCCTTTGAATATGTTTTTACATAATCCTTTAGTCAATGTGTAAATAGTGAAAATAATATAAAAACTCATTTCAATAGAAGGTCATTTACATAATATTTATAAACAAAACTAAYATAAATCCATGACTAGATTTTCTAGTATAAATCAAGAACAATTAGAGTGAGATAATATGCTTAAAATATCTCAATAAAAATGGTTATTAATTGTCATAAAGTCATATAATTCATAAATTGTGTAGGGAAAAAATACCCTTTTATTTCTTTACTTTAAGTACTTAAACAATTATTTTTTGTGATGTCCATTTTTTCCTGTGGATCCAATTTAATAACCCAGGTTTTCTTCTGGTACATTGTTCATTTGTTATCTTTTTAGCCAAAAATGATCAACATTTTTATGTAAAATAAAAACACTTTATTTTTAACAACATTTTCTGTCTTTCAGATTCTTTGATAATTCAAAGTTACCTCTTTTTTGTTACTTTCCTTTAAAAATTTATCACTCATCTACTTAGTTATAAACAACTATGATAAAAGTTAATTTGAGTCTTTTTGTTTGTTATTTACTAATATGCATTAGTGTCCAAACCTGAATTCTAATTATAAACATATTTTAATTATCATTATGATTGATGGTATTTCACAATGTCTTACTGACATATTAYATGGCACACAGTTTTAATTTAATTTATTATTATACATAATTCCATCTATAACATAYAAAGAAGCATTAATTGGCACTTTCATCACAATGATTTATTTAAAACTACACTTATTTTTTTAATCATTTGCATTAAAAATAAATGCTCCATGAAAATATAAGTAAAACAGAAGTAAATTTTGTCTAAAGGCTACTAATTCTGTGTGTCTCCCTTTTCTCTTGTTATTGGCTGGGCTGCCATGTTCTTCTTAGAAGCCATAGTTGTACATGCTTACTGAGGCACAGCTACAGAAATCAAGATGCTAATAATGTCCATCACATTCCACCATTATTTCTAACCCCATACCCCCTCCCTTTGCCTCCAACCTCTCTTCCCTATCTAGAGTTCATCTATTCCTCCCATGCTCCCTCTCCCTATCCCATTATTAATTAGCTTCCTTATATCAAAGGGTTATTACACATTCAGCATTTGTTTTTTGGGGGGATTGGTTAACTTCACTTAGCATTATCTTCTCTAACTCCATCCATTTACTTGCAAATTCCATGATTTTATTCTCTTTTATTGCTGAGGAATATTCCATTGTGTATATATGCCACAATTTTTTATTGATTCATCTATTGAATGGCATCTAGGTGGTTCCACAGTTTAGCAATTGTGAATTGTGCTGCTATAAACATTGATGTGGCTGTGTCCCTGTAGTATGCTGTTTTTAAGGACATTAAGAAGGAAACAAAATTATGTTCAGAGAATTTGTACAAACTCAGATTTACATATTTTCAAAAATATAAAGACCAGATGCTATTTCACACTAGCAGAGAGACCAGAAACATAACAAATCCCTATGTGGAATCCTGGTTTAGATCCTGAAACAGAAAAAGGACACTAATGGAAAAACTGGGGAAATTCAAGAAGGGTTAAAGATTAGCTAATAGTATTGTACCAGTGTTGATTTCTTTCTTTGGATAACTCTGCTATGTTTATCAAAGATGTTAACATTAGAGGAAACCAGATAAAGAATGTACAAAATGTTCCTATTAAAAAAAAGAAGAAGAAGAAGAAAGAAAGAAATCAAGATGCTGCTTAAATTCTGCACATTGCATTGAAAATTCTGTTGCCACCTAGTGCCTCAGTCTGGCTGGGCACAAAATCACGAGCCACTCACACCTTGTAGATTCAAAGGCCAACTCTTTATTCCTGAACTCACACGGCACTCTACACACATTCTCTACACACATTCTGGGGAAATCCACGTTCTGGGCAAAATTCACATACTCCACCAGGCTCTGAATCCCAAATACTTTTTTTAATCCCAGGAGAACTCAATGGGAACTCAAGGAGTGGGTGTGCCTGAGGCAGCAGGATACGCCCTATTCCCAGCAGGGTACACCTTAAACCTGGAACCACCCTAAACCCAATGAGCAGGATACTCCTTAATCCCAGCAGGATACACCCTAAACCTGGATCCCCCTGGTCCTTGAGCAAGGTCACCTTACTCAAGTATACATGCAATGTCACTGCAAATGACCTGGGTCCAAAGGCAAGCCCATTCATTCCTACTTGGCAATGGCCCTCAGCAACCTAGGACCTAAGCATTCAATGAGAGTAATAGCAGGTACATACCAGAGGCAGAGTGGGAATGTAGATACATGGTGAATCCTGGAGATAATGAAGGACCCAGGGACTCTCTCTTCAAGTAACTATAAGTCCATTCTTGCTCCAATGACAATTCATGCTGTCACCATTTCCCTGAAACATTTCAGATACTGTTTTTTTTCATCGTTAATGATAATTTAATTATTTAAAAATAGTATACTTACATGTGAAAGCTCTTTTTTTTAAACTAAGGGTTAAGTAGATAAATATTAGCTTTCAGACCACTATTTGAAACTTACTTTGCAATTCATTTTCTACCCATATAACTTTAAAAACAAGTAAATTTGTATATTAAACCTAAAACAAACTAGGAAAGTTCATTGATGCAGAAATTAGCTACTAATTATGTTTTGTGTGCTGTCAAAAAGACTGAGAGTGTGAGAAAAATGGAAATTATATATATATATATATATATATATATATATATATATATATATATAAAACTGTTATCAAATGTCCATTGTAATCTTTCTTATTTCAAATAATTAAAGTTTTTTAAGTCAATAGAACTGAACAAGGTAGCAGTGTAGGAGAGAGTGTGATAGAATATTAAATATAGAAATGTGTAATAGAGTATTAAAAATAGGAATTCATACTTTATTGGATTAAAGGTGAAATGCATAGCTGATTACAACATTTTAAGAGTAATTTACATTACTGTATCTGTACTATGATTAAAAGAGTATAAAAAAGTTTTCTCTTCTTTGTTTCAGCTGTTGGTGGCTTTTCCTGCTTATGCAACTCAAGTTATGCTGGAYAAAGCTGTGAGTGGGACACTGATGGCTGCATCCTGAATGTCTGTGAGCAAAATTCCACCTGCAAAGATCTGCATCTTGTTAGTATCCATTGGTCTTATTAATATATCTTAATGAAGAATAGCATAATTTAACCCCTACAAATACAGTAAACTTTTGCTCTATGGTATGTCCACATTTGAATACACCTACACATATTTTTTTAAGGTTAGGAAACAGAAAATCAAACAATATTATTTTTAACTTCATTGTGTTAAAATATTTACTCTATGCCAGTTGGTATACATACTATATGAAAAATAGATTCATTCATAGCTATCAGTGATTACTGCATTTGTATAAATTTTCAGAAATTCTTCTAAAAGTGCTATAAGTCTCACAGTCATTTTTTTTTTTTGCCTAATTTGAGGTACTAAATTCACATACATACATTCACTGTCATTCACTATCTTAACTTTTGCTGTGATTTCCATCATGTGTTGAATACTCCATCATTTCCTTCATTCATCTGTACTGGTGCTGTCCCTTCTGTACATATCCATTTGTCATAGCCTTTGTCACAAGCATGTGCCATTCTGCCTTAAATGAACTGTGACACAGTTGGCAAATCAATGGGATCCCCTCAGGCTCCTCATTTCTCAGAAAGCCTGACATAAAACACATCTACTCAAGGTGGACTCACTTACTCACAGGCCTCAGAAAATAAATGACATACAACAAAAGTTAATGCTACAACACTGGTATAGGCTTATACTTTATTCTTTAGCAACAGAAACAATTTTTACAAAAAGACTACAGTAGTTGAAGTTAGAAAGCAAGTCTTTCAAAAACAAATGTTTTCATCAAAATATTTTGACTATCATCAAGGGTCTGACACTGTTTGTTTTTACAACTACAGGATAATTTGCAGCATTTTTTTTTTTTTGTTTCCAACAAGGAAGGCAGATACATAAAAGAATAATTGTAGTTAATGTTTGAATATACATGACCAGCACCAGGGATGATCCATAGGTTATTGAGCCACTAAACAGGAATGTGTAATTTCCTGTAGCTTCATCTTGATTCATAACAAATGTGTTATCTAAATCATGTTAATCTAATCCTAGAATCAGGGAATACATTAAGAATGGGCAGGAGATACTACACTGGTCTCTGAGACAAGAGAAGTTCTTTCAAAGAAAAGGTTACCTCACCTGCACATAGGATGTAAGAGGTAGGTGTGTCCTTTTCTAGAACTTGTAGCTTATGGATTGTATAAATCTAGTTGCTGTTTTCAGGCCTCAGGTAGATGACTCTGAAGGCAGCAAAGACTCACAATTGAGAAACCCAGACSTATGATCCATTGTTGAATCCCTAAGTGAACTTCCCAGGTGCCATCTCAATAGGTGGAACTAATTATAAGAAATCATTATGGCCTCTTGTTTAGAAAGACTAATTTTCTTTTAGTTGTGGGTAAATTATACAATGTGGCACATTCATGTATGATTGATTTTTTTTTAATCCTATGGCTTCAGCTGCAACTTCAAAAATAATAGTTTTTTTTTAGTAGAAAGAACTTCATACCCCAAAACATAGCATTCCACTTCTAGGCCTGACCACAACTTTTGTGTATGACACTAAGCTTGGTCATTTGACAAATCAGGGGCTGACTTTAGAGGATGAATCATACCAAACCATAGAACATGCAAATATACTATTTTTTTCCATTATCTACTTTTCAAATTTCCTATAAGAACTTATTCAGACTAACTTTAGCATCAGCTCAAATTCTTGATTACTATTTCTAGAAATTGTTAAAACAAGAATAACAGAGAAAGCAGCAAAGTTAAAAAAATCAAGTTTCTTAATAAATTTCACCTAGATTATCTATGTGACTAATTAATTAAAACCTATGTTTATACACAAGGGGACTATTGAAAGTATTTAATGCATATGTAAATACACACACATTATATATCAGTTTCAAGGAAAGAATTGTCATTGGCTTTGTGATATCTTTTCCAAGATTAGTGTTGTGAACACAACAATTTGTTTTTAAAAAGTTATGTAATGTTCAAAGTATTTTGTATCTTGTTGATATTGCATCTGGGGCCCCAAGACTACTCTCACATTTGATAATTCCCAAGAAAGACTAAGAACAGTTGTTTTACTCTTTGATAGTGTTTATTACAATGCAAATTTATAGGTTAAAAACAGAAAAGGGAAATGACACACAAGATCAAGTCTAGGAAAAACCTGGGATCTACATCCCACATGTTCAGCTCTTAAAGATACATGGACAGTGTTTAAATATCAGAAACAACTCGCAACAACGTGTATGGAGTGTTGCCAACCAGGGAAGCTCATGTATGGCATGGTGTTCAGAGTTTCTATTGTGGATCACTCACAAAAGCATGGAGGTCCTACATCATTGAGTTTCCCTGACTGGTTTCCCACTCCTGTAGTGATCAAGGTGACATAGCATTGACCTACAGTGCCACAGCACTACAGCCCCAGACATGCAAAAAAATAAATAAATAAATATACAGAGGAAAGAAAGACTTCTAGCATTAATTACATCATTAGCATGATCTAGTTTGCATAACTGAAGGTATCAAGTTTCAAAGATATCATTATCAGTCATGATATTYAGTGGCTCATATGTTCCAGTCCTTTCTTCATAATATTCAAGGTTGGAGTACCCAAGTTTGCTCAGTTAACTTTTTTACTCAGATACTTGGGTGAATATTGAATTTTGGTATTATGAAAAATGGTACATAATTAGAAAAACAACATATTCTATAATAATACACTGAAACAAAAAAATTATCCCCAAGACATTCTGTCAAAGAGAACGAGCTAAAATAAAACTCATACTTTTGAAATAAAGCTTGAACTAGACATTATAAATATATGAAATAGAGCAAGGTTCAACTTGAGCTTTACATTTTCTTGTTTTCACTAACTCATTGGTGAAAAAAATAAACTATGAAATGCTGAATGTTTTGTGATGGAAGATAAAATTAGAAAGATATAGAATAGGATTTTTCTAAAGAATTTGTAATAATCCTTAAACACAGAAAGATGACTTTATTTCATCTACAAGGCTTTCATTCACATTTGGCAAGAGTCAGCAGCCTGCCTGTTGCAGGGCAGGACCCTAGACCAGCCCAGGCACTCCCAATCACAGGAAGCTTGCTGCTTCTTTAAGCTTGGTGTATGTGTAGCTTTAAGTTAACCTTTTCACACATGCCACATTATCTTCTGATTATATGGCAGCACCATGATGTTGAATTTAGAATATAAAGCAGAAAATCAGGAGACTTTCAAAGCACAGTGAGAGGTTCTCTGTAACAATGGCCAATTTTCTTCTTTTCCTTTTTTTATGGCTCAATAAACCTAAATAAACAATGAGACTGAGAAAAGAATGTTRAATGTTTATCAAATAATAAGATACAAATGTTAAAAACAGGTATCCTGAGACTTAGCCCCTCCTGTAACTGTCATAGGCATATTTGAAAGTAACTATTTCTTTGTGGTTGTTTAAATATGTATGATCAAATTAGTCTAGTATTTTCCCTCTCATTTTATTTTCAGTTTCCTCTGTATCCTACATGAATAATGAATGAKTAATTTTAATAACAGCAGGAGAAACAAAAATAGTGCAATAGAAATAATATGTGGAAAGAACAGAGTTTTTATTCATATACAACTATATGAACACWCAGACATATGATACACTACAGACTTACATTTTCTCCTGTGTAGTCAAAACAAACTGAGTGTTCTAGTAATAAATAAATAACTATTTTTTTTCCCTTTGCCAACCACATGGTTGGAAAGTTCATGTTAGTTCTTTGAGAGTTAGCTGTTTTCTCCAGTTGAGATTATAAACGCGGGGGTTGGATCAAGTGGCTGCTATTAAAATGCCTATTGTGCCACCTCTTGTCCCTWTTAAAGATAGGTTAATCTGCTAAATGATTCTAATCCTTGCATGCCATATTTGAAGCCCTGGACCTTTTCTGCTTCTCTCCCCKAAAGCACATAATGCTTAGCTAGTTAGTAGGCAGGTCCTAATGCTTCTAYAATATGTCCAATTGCACTGTCTGTAACCTCCAGATTCTGCACTGTCTTTAGGATTACAAATCTTCTATCAGCKCACAATCCACTGCTCACTGTCACATTCTTCAATCTTCATTTCTTTCATGCCCTTCCTCTCCGTAAAGATTTGCTTAATYTGRTTTGATGGAAATTAACACAGAGGTTCCTACTCAGTGTCAGAGCTTGGTAATGCCTGAATTCTTAAAACTCAAAGAATTGTTTCAACAATGTCCTGATGAAGAAAAGGAAAGAAATAATTTCTGCAACAACAACAACAACAACAACAAAGACAATGGTAAATTAGATTATTCACAATTTCCCTGTTACATAGGAAGGTGGCAAAATTTTCCAGCCTTAAATATCTTAGATCATAAATATAACCTTTGTATTGACTGTGTTATGTCTTAATATTGCATTTAAATCATGGGTTTTATGGAATTTTGCCTAAAATGTCAAACCTTATAGAATTAGTTTTTCTATACTCATTATTTAACATGTTTGTGTTAAAACTTCTTTTA